AGGTATGCATTCATAGAATTTGCTTCATTTGAAGATGCTAAAGAAGCTTTAAGTTCTTGTAATAAAAGGGAAATCGAGGGCAGAGCAATCCGGTTGGAGTTGCAAGGAGCCAGGGGATCCCCGAATGCCCGGAGCCGTAAGTTTCTTCACATGGGGTGTGGGTGCAATTGTCCAGTGGGGCTCCCCCCCAAATTGAGAGGGCTTTGGCTGACCGCTAGGTGACCAGTGCTGGACATGATGACTGCTTATCTGAGAAGTAACTGATGAAATCACAAGAAAATTCCTCTAGATAGTCAAGTTCTGATCCACACGTGGCCTTCACCTGGCTGTCCTTTGCTAGTGGGTTCGATGGCTTGCCCCCACTGGGGGGTGTGTGTGTCTCATTGTCCCTTAAGGCCACTGACAAACACGGTGTATATTTTCCTTTTTTCCAGAGCCTTCTAAGACCCTGTTTGTCAAAGGGCTGTCTGAAGAAACCACTGAGGAGACCTTGAAGGAATCATTTGATGGCTCTGTTCGGGCCAGGATAGTCACTGACCGGGAAACCGGCTCTTCCAAAGGGTAAGGTGGCCCAGGGCAGAGTGGCAAAACCTCAGCTCTTCTCAATGAGCTCCTTTCTGCCACTGGTGGCAGCTGTTGGATTCGCACGAGAAGAAGAGCCAGAGTCCCAGGCGAGCCCTGTGAGCTTCCCTTCTGCCAGTGGGGGTTAGTTCCGCTGCCTGTGAGACATTTCTGTTAGTGAGCTGCTTTCTGGCATCTCGGTGAAGCAGCACAAGGTTTGAGGTAGTGGGCATGTGGTGTGGACTTGCCCTCAACTGGTGGGTCCTCCTCTGGGCAGGTTTGGCTTTGTGGACTTCAACAGTGAGGAGGATGCGAAAGCCGCCAAGGAGGCCATGGAGGATGGCGAGATCGATGGCAACAAAGTGACCTTGGACTGGGCCAAGCCCAAGGGTGAAGGCGGCTTCGGGGGACGAGGTGGCGGCAGAGGAGGGTTTGGAGGCCGAGGTGGCCATGGCAGAGGAGGCCGTGGTGGATTCGGTGGCAGAGGCCGGGGAGGCTTTGGAGGTGAGTATGGGGGTGGCACCATCGGTACTGGCCAGCAATGTGCACTTTAGAACCATGTGGGGCGGGGCCGGGAGAGGCCTTTGTGCTGTGCCCACTTGATATTGATGCTCAAGGAATCCTCCCTGGTGGAGCTGTGGGTTGTGTTGAGCCGCCAACCGCAAAGTCAGCTCAGCTACCGCACAGCCTTGGACACGGGGTGGCTGCTCATGGTGGGTCTGGGCTCTTCAGGACCCTTTCCTCTCTTCTACAGGACGAGGTGGCTTCCGGGGAGGCAGAGGAGGAGGAGGAGACCATAAGCCACAAGGAAAGAAGACGAAGTTTGAGTAACTCTTGTGTCCCTGTCTTTGCTGCTTCTGTTTGAAAGAAAGGACTCTGGGTGTTACTCTTACCGGATCATGACAGAGCCTTTGGTGGACATTCCGAGTAGAGAGAGAGAGCCCTGTGGAGACGACGTTTCAGCCGATGTATAAATCCGTGTTTTTCCTACAGATAGTTTTTTTTGGGGTGGCGTTGGGGGGGAATTTTGCCTCAGTGACTTTGGGACAAATTAAAAAGTCCTAAGCTCTGGTGCCAGTCTTGTACTGTTTCTCCTGGACAAACATGGGGAGGGGGTGCTGGCTCCCTAGTCAGCCCAACTCCCTACCCTGCCTATGCTGCTTGCTGTAGTGGAACCCAAGGGCACCCTCCACTTGGTTGGAATGGCTGGTAGGGGCACCCACTGGCTTCTGTTGGCTTGGTGGGCAGTGGACATGAAAGACCTGGCATTCCAAATCACTTGCCAGCCGGCCTCAGGGTCTGGTGCCCCGTGTGTTCAGACCTCTGAGAGACAAGCACAGTAGCAGCGCCTCCTGGGTGGACTTGGCCTGCTGCAACAGGAGCCTTGAGCTGTGGTGGGCCTGGATATGAGCACTACCTGCATGTCCCCACCCCACTTCTCTTAACCTCAAAGAACTGAAAACCATGGGCTCACCAGCAATACTTTCCAGCCCCACAGTGTGCAGAGGTCCAGAGCTAGGCAGGCAAATCTCAAAACCTTGCATGCCCTGCTGAATTTGTTTTTCACTTGCTGATTTTTAGCCACACTGGTTTAAGTGCCAAGTCAAAATCTGGCCTTAGTGGAAATTAACTTTCCCATTTTTATTTGGTCATGTTGACCCTTAAAAGGGTAAGTCACTTCTCTGAACTGCAGAGTGCTGAAGGTGGGAGGGAGCTGGAGGCTCACAGCATCTAAAGGGTAGGGTGCTTTCTAATTACAGCCTGTGGTTTTGTAGGCCTCCTTGGCTCCCAGGATACCATGAGTCTCCCAAACTTGGGGCCCCTTTGGGGTATCTGGAACTGTAGGCTTATGTTCCCTGAAACGTGGAATAGAGTCACTTGTCAGAAGCATAGGTTGCTTATTGCACTGTCCCACATGTTTTTTTATGGGTATTTTTGACCTGATTCCAAACATGGTACCAGTTTTCCCTTCTGAAGTCCGAGATGAGGCTGCCCTATAAGAAATGGGCATTTTAATGCAGCGTTAGCCAGCCGAGGTAGAGGGAGTGTATGCTGGCTTTGTGTCACGCTGTGCTTTCTTGTATCTTTGGACCCAAAGATGTATTTGAACAGTGTTAAATGATAAGTTCCAGTTTTCCCCAAGTATCACTTTATTAGGAACTGAATTAACAAGCAGTTCCAGTTATCTAAAGAGGTGGCCAGAAATAGTTTAGGCAGTAAGGAGCCTAGGATCCTTGCTGGCATGGTGGGTTGTTTGACCAGTGAGACTGCTGCTCCTGTGAAGATTGACAGCCCCAGGAACTTGCCCACAGGGCTGCTGAGTCCTGAGACGGACTTGCAGGGAGCTTGGTTTACGGTGTCCACTCTGATTTTGAAATCACATGACCGTGTGTGCACAGACACGCTTGAAAGAAGTGTTCTTAGCAAGAAGCTTTGAATCCGCCTCAGCCATGAAATTGTCAGGAACATTGTATAATAGGAAGAGAAATTTAGATTGTTTTGTTTTCTACGTTTTTCAGGTTGTATTTTGGTTTTGCAGCCTCCAACACCAAAAAGAACCCACTACCGTCTAGTCGGTTCTAACAAACCCTATAGACCGAGCAGAACTGTTCTTTGGGATTTCCAAACCTGTCAGTCTTCAGAAGGCTGCAGAGTGACCACTGGGTTCAAACCATTGCCAACTGGCCTGCATGGTGCCACATACCACTACCCTTGGAAGTCAGTTTTTCAAACATTATTAACTTTTTGTTAGGGTCTTACCCTGTAATCTGTGGGTCTGAACCCTTACTTAAAATGAAGATGATAAATTAGTGTAATAAATTAATGGGCTATCCTAATTTTATGCCAATGTTGGCTATTCAATATCTAGAGCTGTGAAATTTTCTGAATCCAAGTAACCCCAGGAACCAGGTCTAAAATCCAGGGCACCAAGAAAAATGTGTAACTTGGGTACCAAACCCAGCCAGTGCCTGTCCAATGTGGCCTCCCAGGCCCCTCGGGGGTGCCCATGTTTGCTTCCTGGGATTGGGCGTGCAGCCCACATCCTGGGCCTGGAGAGCTCGGAGGGAGGGAGTCCCTGTGGAGAAAGGGTTTACTGGTGGGGTTGAAAACCATCAGTGGAGCTCAGGAGTCACTGATAACTTCCAGGTTGCTTACCCAGTGATCCGAAAAAGTCCTGCTGATCCTGACAATGTTCTTACACAGATGAGTACAGTGCTGGGAACCTTTGAATGGTGCGGCTCTGCTCAAGAGGGCCAGGTGGCCTCAGCCTCTGGAACCCCCAGACAGAGCCATGCTGCTGGGCTGTGGCCAAGACATCTGCCACCCTGTCATCCCCATGTAGGGTTCCCAAGACTGACTAAAGGAGTAGACCGCCCTTATCTTTTCCCTCCGGGCAGCTGGTGGTTTTGAACTGTTGACCTTAGGATTAGCAGCCCAACATCTAGTCCACACAGTTGTTCAAGCCCAGCATTGCAGCCACTGTCAATCCATCTCACTAGGGATCTTCCTCTTTCCCTGAACTTCCACCAAGATACGGCCAAAGTACACAGGTGAAGTCTTGCCAGATCATTCTTACTACTTGCGAGACATGACTGTTCTTTTGACAATCCATGGACTTTCAGTATTTGCCAGTTCCAGTTCAAGTGCATTGATGTTTTCTGTCTCGTGCATATGAGCTCATTGAAAATACCATGGCTTGGGGGTGCACCTTAATCCTCAAAGTTAACATCCTTGCTTTGCAACACTTGAAAAGAGGTCTTTTGCAGCAGATGTACCCAATGCAATCCGTCCTTTGTTCCCTTGACCTCGGCTTCCATGAGCATTGATTGGATCTCAGCAAGACAAACCCCTTGACCAAGCTTGTTTATCATGTTACCTATTGGTCCAGTGTGAGCACTTGGGTTTTTGTTTTACATTGAGTTGTGGTCCCACCAGAGGCTTACAGTCCTTGATCTTCATCAGCGAGTGTTCTAAGTTCTCACTTTTTCAGCCAGCAAGACTGCATCCTCTGGGCATTGCAGGTCATCAGTAAGTCTTCCTCCACTCTTGATGCCACATTCTTGTGTAACCCAGCGGCTCAGCACACAACCCTGACCCATACCTTGCCTGATTTTAAACCATGCAGTATTCTCTTCTGTTTGCACAACTGCCTTGTGACCTACGGACAGGTTCGGCATGTGCATCATGAGGTGTGGAGTTCCCATTCTTCTCAAAGCTATCCGTAGTTTGTTACGATCCATGCAGTTGAGCTAAGATCGAGCTGACATCTGCAATGATCTCCCTTGTTCCACACCCTCGTCTGCATTTGGCCTAAACCTCTGGCGGCTCCCTATCAGTGTCCTACAGTAACCATTCAGCAACATTTGAATTTGCATGTGCTACTACGATGCTATTCTATAATTTTCTAATTCTGTTGGGTCATCTTACTTTGAAATGGGCACAGTATGGATCTCTCAGTCTGTTGACCAGGTAGTTCTCTTCCAAGTTTTCTGGCAGCTTTTCATCAGCTTGTTGAGTATTCCATCAACTCCTGGGATCTTGTTTTGGCATAATGCTTTCAGTGCAGCTTGGGCTGCTTGCTTCCTCCGGTACCACTGGTTCTTGCTCATGTTCCTCCTGAAATGGTTGCGCGTCGGCCAGCTCTTTGGTACAGGCCCTCTGTTCTCTTTCCATTGTCTTTGCTGCTTCCTGCAGCGGTCAATGTTTTGTCCATAGAAACTTTAAAGATTACAACTCGAGTTTTGCCCTTGGGTTCTTTCTGATTAGGACACGCTGAGCGTGTTCCTTTTTGGCTTTCTAACGCTGGGTGTGTGCACATTTCATGATAACATTTGACTTGGTTTTCTCCAACTGCCCTTTGAGGTTTTCTGTCCGGCTCTTTGAGTCATCTTGTCTTCCAGTTGCCTCAGCTCTTCGACGACCAAGAGCAAGTTCCAGCATCTCTTCTGGCAGCCGCTTCGATCTTTTCTCTCCTTCTCATCCTTCGATGGCCTTGTGCTTTCTTCGACAAGGATGTGCTGGATGCCCTCCCGTAGCTCAAGTCTCCTGACGTCAGTGTCCAGAATCTGTTCTTGAGATGATCTCAGAGACAAGCAAGCCTCCACTGACAGGTGGGTGCTGGGTATCGGCCTGGCTGCCCCCCATGGAAGGCGAGGGTTCAGCCATTGAACCACACTGCCTCTTCGTCTAGCAGGGTCCTCAAGCTTTAACCAGGGGGCCAGTTCACTGTCCCTCACACCCGTTGGAGGGCCGGACTATAGTTTAAAAAAAAACTATGAACAAATTCCTATGCATACTGCACATACCTTATTTTGGAGTAAAACAAAACGGGGCAAAAACACCCGGCGGGCTGGATAAATGTCCTCCGTGGGCTGCATGTGGCCCGTGGGCCGTAGTTTCAGGACCCCTGGTCTAGGGCCTCTCTAGTAACTGCTTTACATTCCAGTGGGTTTTGCAGCCATTTTACAAAACGTTCCTTTCAGCAAATGGTTGTTGCCACACTTTTCCATCTGTCCAGCAGGTGGCAGCATGAGGCTGGTAAGGATGTGTTATCCCAGTGGACGGAGGGAAGTGTCCAGTGGGAAGGTTGAAGAGGCATGACTTACTGTAGCTGGTCTCCAGGTCCAGACCACCCTCGGATCATGGGCGAGACAGGAGTCCACAGGAAATTATCACCATAATTTTTTGAGAGTCACTATAGAACATCATACTTGGTAAAGTAGAAAAAAAACCCCAAAAAACGAGCCCATATAGGAGAGGGTAGAACTACCCTGGTGTGTGGATTTCTGAGACTGGAACTCTTTATGGGAATTAGAAACCTGTCTTTCTCCCTTGAAGCTGCTGGCAGTTTTATCTGCTGACCTTTTGGATGACAGCTCAACGTATCACCACAAGTCAGCCACCAGACCTCCTGTCGGTACAGTAGAAGGCCCTTGTGGAGGTGGTGGGGCTGGCGGTGGTGTTTCCGCGCTGGTGTACACAGGGTCACAATGAGTTGGAACCAAGTCAACAACATCTAACAGCCTCGATGCCCCAGGACTAAGATTTCATGGAAGCGGGTCATGTGACCCC